AATGGGCGCTCAGCGCCTCCGCATTTGCCCGACCGGTGTTCGTCGGGCGGCGGACTTCCGGCGGATCGGCGGCCGGGTACGGTCTAGTAACGATGGGGGAATGCATCGTTACAATTTGAATATTATCTTCATCACAGTTATATTTGTTTTTAATTACATTGATATTATTCGAGTCAAAAGGAATCGATATATTCTCTTCGTTAAATTTATTAATATTATTCGAGTCAAAAGGGATCGATATATTCTCTTTATTAAATTTATTAATATTATTCGACTCGAAAAGAATCGATATATTTTCTCCGTTAATTGTATTGTTCGACTCGAAAGAAAGCAATATATTATTTTCATCACTTACATTTATATTATGAGACTCGAAAGGAATTGGCACTGCATTGCGTTTTAATCCTCTTGCAGCACTCTTCGTAAATGATTCTTCAGGAAAGTGGTCTTCGCATAATCCCGCACGTCGAAGAGAACTGGCAGACCATTTTTCTAATTTCGTATTTCCTGTAACAAAAACAAAATAAATGAAAATTTTAAAGTCATAATTACATACTTGCTCGAATATGTTACTCTACGCATATAATAGTAATTTATAATAAAAATTTTTTAAATTAAAATTTGACTTTTCATGATCAAACAAGGGTAAATAGAGATATATATTTGAATATATAATTTAATTTCTTGACAGGAGAAAAAGATAAAAGAATATTCAGCTTTACGTGCATTTTTTCGTTTGAATCAAAAGCTTATGCAATAAAATATATTTTCCTTCAGATCGCTTATTTATCATGCTATTATGTAAAGCATAGATACAATAAATAACGGAAAATAATAATAAAGGCGTAAAGAAAGAGAGAAGAAAAACAGTCGAAGAAACTCACTTACAGAGACAGATTGATAAAGAAACATAGAGGGGAAAGGGGAAGTGTAAGAAGGTTATAACTGTAATATCCAATCTCTCTTTATATAATATTTATTATTATAATTATATATACATGTGTGTAAATCTTGCAATTTTTTTATTGTTAAAATAATATTAATATTGGATCCACATTCTGTTCCAAAAAAACCGAACGTGTGTAAAGATTAAGTAAATGAAAGCATTTGAGATAATGCTTCTAATCGGTATATATTTAATCATATAAAAGTACACACACGTAAGAAAATAATTTTTCTTAATAGTACATAATAGTAAATTAGTTATAAGTAATAAACATAAACACAATGAAACACATAATTAAGCAACTAATCAAATTTACGATTGATTATCCAAATATTGTAATGTTATTTATTAATTATTAATTTACTATTTATTAAACCAGATTATTATATTATTATATTAATGTATCGCAACCTGCGGGCTTGGAAGAAAAAGATGAATTGTCGGCGGCAACGTGACGAGTATTTACGACTACCCCTGGCTGTTATTAGTATGAGTAAGACACCTTTTACTATGCCGGGAGAGGGAGAGAGAGAGAGATAGAGAGAGAGAGAGAGAGAGAGAGAGAGAGAGAGATTGAAAGAGAACTTCAATGATTTTAATTATACATTTATTGAATGTCTCAATAATCGTTGTCAAATTATGGATAAAAGAAATATAGCGTATTATTTAAGAAAATAAAATTGACTGGAATCTTCTCTACAATTTTATCTGCAGAAATATTAATAATACCACATAACCCCTTGCAAACTAAACAATATTTTGCATACAGTTTATTAATATTTTATTAATATTTCTATAATTTTACAGTTATGCCCCCACATTCGTTCTCATCCCCTCATTCGTTCTCATTTCATCTCACTCGCTTTCTTTAATGAGCCATTGACAATATTTAAATAAAAACTATACGTGTACATTATCAAACTATTATAAAAATAATCCTCGAGCCGAAAATCGTAAGGCAATTGCCCTTTTATAATGTAAAACATTGAATCCTATTTCGATATTACGCGGTTCGATGTGCTTATCTCATCAAACATCACTATTTCACCGATATTGAATAAAAAATGTTACGTGGTGAAGTTACACTTTATTACATACGCGAATAGTCTTTAATATATTAGAACATTATAAAATATACTTTCTAATATATACTGTACTTACCATTGCAATAATTCTTCACAATAATCCTTTCCAACACCCAACTGTTTCGATTGCACGTTGCACGTTCTTCGACGCACTAGGGATGGGCGATTTTATCCGATATATCGAAAGATCCGATTTTTTTTTCGTGAAATAATCGATTTTTTCGTACAATTTTTTCAAGATCCGATATATCGATATCCGATTTTTTGTTGGAATTATCGAACTTCTGCGCCATCTATAGCGTAAATTTCAAAGCTGTGTTCCGAAATTCACAGCCAGTATTGAAAATTTATAAAGCTCGTATCAGACTGCGTATTGAAGATTGAAATTTGACCAATCAAGATAAAAGGAACTAAAATTTCCTTGTTCTGATTGGTCAAATTTCAATCTCAATGCATAGTCTAATATGGGCTTAATACGTGTGACACACATGAACTATAAATTTTCAGTACTGGCAGTGAATTTCGGAACACAGTCAAAGTCAGAGTGCCAGAGTCGTTTTGAATAAACCTGAAAAAAAAATTATTATATTTTTTGAATTTTATAGAAATTAATAAGATAATAAAATGGACGAAAATCAAGGTAAGTAATTGTCTTTTTTTGCCGGTAGATATATTATAAAATTATTAATCTAATTTTTACAATTTGGCATGAAATTACTCAATTACATTATTTGTTATTGTACAGAGCCTAAAGTACATACGATTTATTTTCGTATAGACGATCAGTCCGCCTTTGGAATTGCAGATTTGACAACCACAGAGTATCATCAATTATTATGTAAGTACATTTTTTTCTCTTTATACGCAATTTATATATATATATATATAACCTAAACATATTTATTATTTAATTTTAGATAACGACAAGGCGGCTTGGAAATTTGTCCAATCAATACATAATCAAGAAAACAGGCATCGCAACTCTGATGAGACAATTAATACTTTATATCGATCGGTTGATAATATTGATTAGTAAGTATAATGAAAAATTTTTCTGTTTGGTCTACTTGCATGAAATATTCCAATTTTTGATTAATATTTCATCTTTTGATCAATTCCAATTAATATTTATCGGAGATAGTACGGTTGGACAAAGTTTATTGGTATTTTACGGATGGAAGATTTGTTGAAGTGAGATTATATTTATGTGTGTGCATGTTAACTCAAGTGGTTTAGGTTATCAAATCAATTGTCATTGATTTTTTTTTTAGTTATCAAATCCAGCAATTGGTTTCTTTGCAAATCAATTTTATCTATTTCATTCAAGATTCCACATTTTTTTTATTTGTAAATATTTTTATAATATAATATAATATAAATATTTCCTCTCTCTCTCTCTCTCTAGCACATCAGTGATAAATAAGGAACAATTACTCCCCAGCAATAAACCAACCTTTCGTCCACATGATCCCAATGAAATAGTAGATTCTTCTCTAAGGGAGATAAGTAGCAATATGACAGATGAAACAGTGCCAGCAGTAAAAGTCGCCCAATCAACCATAACTCCACGAATTGTGCATAAATCTAATGTTCCTGCTATCAATGAAATAAATTCAAACAAATCAACAAGGAAAAGGAGCTCGGTGTGGATGTATTTTGATAAAAAAGATGATCAACACGCCCTATGTACAATTTGCAATTTCAAAGTAAAACATTGTGGTGGAACGTCAAATTTGCAGGCACATATGACTCGAAGTCATGGACCCCTGTGCTCAGGGATATTTAATAATAAAAGAATTATATCAGAATCTGAAAATGAAAAGGTTGCAACTCCTGATGATCCATCTCCAAAACGCAAGAAATTTTCATTAATGGTAAGCACATTAATTTTTAATCATAAAATTTTTAATGATAAAATTTAATATCTTTTTCTTTTCAATAGAACAAGTTTTCGCGCATTGATGAAGCTTTTCAGAAGGCAAATTCTTTCGCAGGTAAATACAATGTTTATTTAATCTAAAGAATATTATCTAATAATAAAAAACGTCATTCTCATTTATTTTTATCATTTTCAGAAGGAGGGTCGCATTCCGACAAGATCACTGCTGCGTTAATGTTCACGATAACAAAGGATAAGGAACCTCTAGCTATGGTCGAGAGAGAAGGCTTTAGGCATTTCATGAAAGTGATAGTTCCGCTGTATCGCATTCCTGATCGGAAAACGGTAACACAATTAATAGATAATCGCTACATGGAAGCTAAAAAAGCCTATAAGCTTTCATTGAAGAGAGCATTGTCGTATACCTTGACATGCGATAATTGGACGGACTGCACGTTCCAGAGTTATTTAGGTGTCACCATACATTACCTAGGAGAAGATCTTATGATGAAAAATGGATGCCTAGGAGTTTTCCCATTGCACAGCAATCATACGGAAGTCTACCTGTCTGGATGTCTTAATGCTGTGAGCGATGATTTTAATTTATCTAAAAATAAAATCATGGCAATCACCAGCGATGGAGTTCCAAATATAGTTGCTGCCGTTTATAATGTAGTAGGCCAGGAAAAGCATATTTGGTGTTTCGCTCATTTTCTATCGCACCTAGTCCCGAAAGTACAAAAAACTATGCCAGCTGTTATCGACATTATTACTGCGGTCCGAAGAATCGTAGCACTCATTCGACGAAGTGTTGTAGCTTCAGATGAGTTGAAAAGATTGCAGATCTGTGATGGAAAGACGGAGGGAACATCCTTAAAATTCATTATCGATGTTGCAACTCGCTGGAACTCTACTCTTTATATGCTGGAGAGATTTCTCACTCTGGAACACTACGTTCATGCAGTTAGTTTGAAATGTAAGAGATCAGACATTCCAAACATGCTGACGCGTGATCAGACTGAAGTTCTCAAAGACCTTGTGCTTCTTATGAAGCCAGTAGAGTGCGTTATTTGAGAAATTAGTTGGAGTAATTATCCTACTTGCAGTGTCATTATCCCTATTATACATTGCATGACACGATCAATCGAACAAATTCAACCTTCAACAAATGAAGGGATTGAATTTCAACAAAGAATACTGGCATCAATAGATGAGAAGTTTAAACATGTTGAGAAAAACATGATCCTGTCAATCCCGACAATACTTGGCCCACGCTTTAAACGGCTTCACTTCCAAAATGCTCTCGCAGCTGCAACTGCTATTGAGAAAATCAACAAAGAGATGAAGGTATTTGAAAATAAAAAAGATGAGATGACGACAATACTCCAACAAGTTGAAGAGAATCCAGAACAGTCAAATCTTTGGAAAACTCATGATGAGTTGGTGGCAAGGTATGCCGAAATAAACATGAGCGAGAAAAATCTTGCGTATGAGTTAAGGCAATATTTGAAGCAGAAAGTAATTCCTTGACATCAAGACCCATTCAATCATTGGAAAATATTGGAACCCTCGTTTCCAGGACTGTATAAGTTGGCAATTCAGTACATCAGCATCATTAGCACTTCAGTTCCTTCAGAAAAGTTGTTTTCAGCGGCAGGAGGTATCAAAACAGATGATCGAAACCGTCTTACGGGTGAGCATTTGAACAGACTTCTATTTTTGGGATCTTTATTCAAAGAAGAATGGAGATTGGGTTGAGGCTTTATATATCATTCTCATTTTGCATTGTTTGTTTGTGCATTTTACTTGCATTGTTTGTTTGTGCATTTTACTTCTACATTTACTCTGTGTATATTCTTTTTCCTTTGTTTGTATAATTGAATGTATTTATAATGTATAATATTTTAAATAAGAACATTTTATAGTAAGCATTAATAAAACATAAATTGTTGATCCTTTCCCTTTATCCTCTTCTCTGCACCTTCTCGCTAGTCGCCTAACCTATTGTTTTTATAAATAAATTAAGGATTCTTAAATTTTCAGGTAAGAAATTTATTATAATATAATTTTTTAATATTAATAAATTTCTCAAAAATCATCAATTGATTTTCTTTTCAGAACTCATGGACTTCTAAATCAAATTTTCATGCCTTTCACGAAAAAAACGAGAAAAATGGAGTAAATTATCAAAAACGTAATAGAAAATGTAGTGTATTTTATATTAAAATATATTTAATTATTAACAAAACAAACTTTAAAATATATTCAAATGCTTTTAAAATTAATTTTGAAATATTTAATATTCAAATATATGTACATACAAGTTTTTCCCGCTTAATAAGGAAGACTTCATTTAAATATTTAAAATTTATGATAACCGATTTTTCGATTTTCCAATTTTTTTTGTATTAAAATCGATATTTTAGTACCAAATTTTATTATTATATCGATTTTTTTCGATCGATTTTTTTTTCGAGATCGCGCATTCCTACGACGGACACTCGCCGTCCCATTTTTTTGTAGACAAATTAGAAACAAATTTTCTGTAACAAACATGTGTTAATTTACTTAATTCAGGATATTCAGTTATCGATTCTATACAATGTATATGCACGATGTATATACATTAAATGTTTATATAATATATGTTTGTAAGGTAAATATGCATATTAGGTTACACCTCACTGATGACTTTGACCTTGACATATGTTGTCAAGGACATAACCCTGAGTAACTTTTCCTTATAACTTAACCGGCGGTCTCTTATAGTTTCTGAGATATTTAAAGTTATGATTTCACAATTTTAATGATTTTTCTATTATAAAATAAAGAAAAATAAAGATTGTTTACATTGTATTTACGTAGATCAGACGTGGAAAAAGTGTTTCTTTACATTTCCAGAGACGAAGCTCTTTGGGTTTTTTTTACTTTCCACGCAAAGCGAGGTTCAACGCAAACCTATGTGTCTAGTTTTTTTATAATGGAGCCCACTGCGTCCACGCATATACTTTCCCATCCACACAACAATTGTGGGGCGGACTTCGCTTTGCTTTGTAAAGTATATGCGTGCACACAGTGTGTTCCGCCCCCCCCCCCTCTACGGGGGGGCTCCACTTCCGGAAGATATAACCTAACCCAAACCTATTTCTGATTTAAAACTAAAATTTGGTTTGGGTTAGGTTATATCTTCCGGAAGTGGTGACCCCCCGTAGGGGGGCGGAACCCACTGTGTGCACGCATATACTTTAAAACAAAGCGAAGTTCGCCCCACAATTGTTGTGTGGATGGGAAAATATATGCGTAGACGCAGTGGGCTCCATTATAAAAAAACTAGACACATAGGTTTGCGTTGAACCTCGCTTTGCGTGGAAAGTAAAAAAACCCAAAAAGCTTCGTCTCTGGAAATGTAAAGAAACACTTTTTTCATGTCTGATCTACATAAATACAATGTAAACAACCTTTATTTTTCTTTATTTTATAATAGAAAAATCATTAAAATTGTGAAATCATAACTTTAAATATCTCAGAAACTATAGTAAAAATAATTCTTACTATAAATCGCGAATAAATTATGAAAATTCGCGAATAAATACATTATCTTTATCAGAAAGTAAAAAAAATATTGCTAACACATTCTATAAAAATTACATATAATAATATTACATAATTTACTTATCAATTAGTACAGTATGTTGTAGTTGCCGAATATTTCGTACAAAACTTTAAAAAACTATATATCACGATTTGCACATATATAAATGCATTTGAAATAATAGAAAAATGTTTTAACAAATTATTATTGCGCGCATTTTACGATTCCATAAAGAGTGGTTCGCATATTCCTTATTTAATTTATTTTAATCCTATTCTTTGTGTTTACGCAAAAATATTTATTATATATTTATGTATATAGTTAATTAAAATCTTAAAGATGAAGTATTAGTATCGCTGATCATATTAAAGTTTAATCGCGGGCTCATTCTTAAAGTAACCGCCGGTCAGTTCCAGAAAGTTACTACTACGCAGCTGCCTAGTTCTAAATAAAGCCTTCTGATTGGTCGGTCCAAGGAACCTTTAATTCTTTGCGCAATCGATTATTACTACTAATGGAACTAAAATATAGTTCATTTTTACGTTAAATAACCATATGGAACTAGAACAATAAGCAATTAGTAAAATTGATTACTAATGGAAATAAGGGCAAATGGTTAAATAATTGTTCTATATTCCATAGGCATAATGCAGAAATAGATGCGGTACTTAATTATTAGTTGAAATATGGTTTTGAAAAATGACGGGACGTCACACCTTCCCCCTTATTTAAGAACATATTACGATGTTTTCGTAGTGATTTGTTCGAGGTCTTTCAAACGGTCTGCCAGATCTTTGAATATATGATGTCTGGGAGTAATATCTATGGTTGCTGATTCGATGTTGGATCCAGCATTTTTGTGTGGGTCTAAGGAATTATCAATCGTTTGTGGTTTTAGGGGTGGTTCTTCGGGCGCAGCAATGGTGATGGTCCATCCTCTTCATTGGTGGGGTTTTTGTTGATTGGTCCATGTGCAAGGTGAAGTAACAGATGAGTGAGAAAGCTCCAAACGGCTCCCAGTAAATGTAAACTCCATCCATAAGCGGTATGTAAGGCATATCCATGAATAGTTGTGTCAACAACGATTTTTATAACGCGGATGATTGCTATGATACCGAATATGCCTGCGGTTACGGAACCAAATGTGACGAATCCACTCCATACTCGGGAAGCGGCGTTCTCTGCTATTTTATTGAGAGAAGCTTCATCCAGCAAGTTGTACATGGAGACTGCATCTGTGTTGATGGAATAGCCAGTGATTCCTCTAGCAATTGTGTTGAGTAGTGCAGGTTTCTCTGCGGGGAACATAATGTGATCCCTCAGCTTCTCTATATCCTTCTTGGAGTATATTCCGCTGATGGCAAGGGGTCCTGGCGTCAAGTAATCCCAGGATAGGGTTGTCAGTGGCCCTAATTGTTGAGGGGGTAATTGTCTCACTTGAGGTTCAGGTGTGAATTGAATCCAAGTATTTTCGATGCGATATATCGTAGGTAGTTCGTAACTACATTCCTTTTGATTCCCGAAGTTAGTGATTATTCGAGATTTAGGGGTAAGAAATAAGGAAGTATTACGTACAGTTACTGGTAATTCTGTGTAACATTCCTCTGTTTTTCTTACTGTGACCTCCACTGGTATGCATTTAACAATATGCGTAACTTCTCCAGTTGGGACTGCCATATAGCCCGGTCCTTTCATGAGTTGATATGCGAATTCGTCAGGTTGAAGAGTAGCGAAAGACAAGGCATTTGTTATTACCTGTCTTTCTATTTCGCATTTCTGCTGCATCACATTATGATACAGTGAGGTCATCTGGTGTCGGATATGTTTCTCTACATATACGAATTTTGAGTTCATATATGCAAAAATGTCCAAGTTGTCCACGGAAATGATATCCCGACTGGCGAAGGTATCTCCCTTCTTGGTTTCGAAGATGAAAAGTTTAGGATGCTCTGTGC